GGCTGACCGAGCTGCAAGTACATGTATAAACAGGTCCATTGAAACCCACGCCATTCCAGCGACTGACTATAGAACTACTCTGCGAAAGAAAATAAAACGTTCCTGGCAAGTGGAGTGGAGCTGCGACTGTTGCAATAAGCTCCATAGTATTAAGCCTACTTTGAGTGAATGGCGCAGTGCCAGACATCGGGAAAGGTTTTACGAAGTTATTCTGTGCCGGCTGCGAATAGGACACACACGCCTAACCCACGGGTACCTCTTAAAAAGCGAAGACCCTCCAGTGTGCGATTACTGCTTTGAAACTTTAAGTGTACTCCACATCCTTCTAGTATGTCCGCAATTTCATAACGAACGCTGCACCTACTTCCCAATCTTTTTTAGAGAGCATATTCCGTTCCACCTGGCACTTTTGCTCGGAGACGAGCCTCTTGTCCCACATACACAAGTGTTCAACTTCTTAAAGAATATTGGTATTTTAAACCGCCTTTAGCAGATTTTAGTAAAGTGAAATTTCGCAATGTATAATTTAGCCGCCGAGTCTTGTGATATTTACTCACCATGTGTTTGGCGCACTATGGCCCGAGTTGCTGCTGTGCCAAAAAACCCCAAATTCATTCATTCATTCATGCGTATCACCACTCATAGTGCCCTGTTTCATGTCTGTGTAACTATGTTAAAATTAATTGCATTCCCATGTATATTCTGTGTCATAACTATGGCATATCGTCATAATCAGTTTTACCATTCTCACTAGTCTTGTGCCGTATATGAATAGTTCCTATGTGCTTTACTTCATTAGTTTTCTTGGTCACAATTAGTTTTCTTGGTCACAATTAGTGTATAACTAGCTAAATATTGATTGTAAAATAAAATAAATTATTCTTCCAGCTTGAATTCTTTTATTGTGAAAGCATTAACTGTCCCTGTCCCATAGAGTGGCTGCGTCTGTAACCGCGAAAAGAGTGCAAAATGCCGGCGGCATCTGTAACCGCGCAAACCATGCGCACAAAACATGGAAGAAATTCCCAGGAGCCGGCGGCGTCTGTTACCGCTGTAGTAACCACGCAAAACGTGAAAGAAATTGCCAGCAAAACGGCTCCTAGATAACCACTGGCTGGGACACGTCATAGTTCCAAGGATCGCCACCCTACAGAGAAGCCCTCTTCCTGGCGCTCCGGCCCGCACGCCAGGAAGGAGTGCGCTCGGCCGTCGCTCTCGTGTCAGTCGTCGCCAGGGGCTGCAGTTGCTTCTGCTCCTCTCAACGCCGAGGAACATGGTGGTGCCTAGGCATCTGTATCGTTGGGGGCCGCAACCCCGGCAGTAGTGAAACGTGGCCCCCGACGCCAGCACACCATAGACAAACTAATTGGGAGCGGTAGAACGACATTCATGCTTTCGCACTCACAACTCGTAAGAAGTGCTTAAGTGTCCTGGAATTTTTTTTGGTATGTTTAGTCGAACGTGAATTTCCTTTTTTAACTGCATATCTAGGTTTGTTTATTCAAATTTTTCTGATTTATATTCACTTGTTTATTTTCCACCCCTCGAGACTGCGAAAGGTCACAAATCCGGCCTCTTACCCTAAGAGTTTGGAGACCCCTGGTTTAGCCGATGAAATAACACATACAGAACGTGACGAATGCCTTGATGTCGGGCATTTGGTGCCATTTGATTGGTCCCATTGGCTCATAGCATCGGCAGCGCTTTGACCTAATGTGTAATGAAGTATAGAGATTACTCAATCAACGGCATTGAACTCGTCATCGTCTGAATTTGCAGACGATGTCATCAACGTCAGGAGCTAAAAGTTGCAAGAAAAATTTGCAAAATTGTGGGATGGCAGTTCCTGTAATAAGACAGAAGCATGGTCTTTTAGTCCTGATGAGACCAGTTGATTATTTCGTCTCTTCCATGTTTGCTTGCCGTGGCAGTATACCGTGGCACTTGCTCCACTTCACCGCCTCTCACCAGCACGTGCGTTGAGCTTCACAGTTTTACACCGGTGTTGGAGGAGCAACGGCTGACATACAGGAGCGCCTGCGTTAGCTAAAAAATTATGACTGCTATTATAGAGGTCGACCATCTTTGGTCTTGATCAAATCTCGACCTGGAATTTTCAAAAACTCTGCCAACAAAAAAAAAAAAAGGCGGAAAAAAAAAAGGTTTTTATTTTAATGCTAATTACGGTAGTAAGGGTAGTTTCCGTGCAGCATGCAGTCAATTGAAAGGGCAGCGAACTTTGACTCAACTCTGGTTCCAACGCTGCTAAAGCGCAGTGTCAGTTTTAAAATGTAGCTTTTCATAATATTTTTGGGTGTTTGTTTTTGCAGTTTAGGATATTATGACCTTGAGTTCTTGCGTTATTAATAGTTGGGGAAAGCATTCTCATTGATTGGCGTTTTAGTGCATATGATGGTCTTTGCCGGCATTTAAAGAAATTATCTTTACGGGCTGAATAAACAACCCCACGTAAAAGGGGCTGAAGAGAGGCTTTATTGCAACTGAAGTGTTGCGCCATGATTCATTTTTCAGCCATTTTTAATACCCATTTTAAAAGTAACTACTCTGACCTGAACATTATTTCTAAGAAGGCTGTGTGCTCTTTTTGCATCCTATTTATTCTTGTCACAACAGGTATATGTAATATGCTTCAGTATGGTAGATGAGCCCTTAATCGTTACTGAAGGTTGACTCTCATTTAGCAGTGCAATCATCATTTCAAGTGGCGTGCTAACAGATGTTGGCGTCTGCTCCAAAAGCATCAGTGGCTGCTCCAAACTCATATTTTGCCGGCTACAGAGCCTGCTACAAAAGATCAAATGTCGTCACTGCAGTTAGTTCCTGCAATGTATGGTGGATTTGCCATAAATACTCGACGACTCCTTTGGAAAGTCGGTTAGAAGGTGTGCAATCCCTGCACAATGGTGGACAGAAGAAACTTGCATTTGGTGGTGCCTTGGCTGCACAAGCCCTCATGCACCGGTAGCAAATGTCAGAGCTAGCGACTGGCGCCTCTGGCACGCTCGTCGGTGCCAGATGGCGAACACATTGTTATCACATTCAGTAACTAGCGCTTCACAAGCGTTGGTGCAGTGGTTGAGTGTGGGGCTTCCAATCTCGGCGGTCCTGGGTTCCACCCCCTCGGGTGGACCTTGAGAGTTTTGTTCTGTCTTAGTTTATCCACCTGCCACTCTCCTGTGCATGCACTTTAATTTCGCGTTACAGAGCAGAATTTTCTCGGGTCAGCTGCCAAAAGAAATGCGCCTTACCATGCTGTAGCGGGGAATGTCGGCTGCTTCCCTAAAGGTTTCTGCTTGCATAGTACTCTGTATGATAACCGTATGCATAACGTGCCGTGGGCGTTGTTGACACATCTTTGAGGTAAGTGTGTGGCACAGTGGATAGCTTTCTTAAATTGTTTACGACATCACTTCCTTTGCAGTCTAGCCTCACTCGTGTAATTATTACTTTGTGGTTCACATTAAGACCCCAGTTAGCAGTCATACCGCACTGGTCAAATATCTCATTTTAAGATTAGTCACTCTCATTGTCTAAATATCCAGACAGATTTATAATTCATTTGACGGTTTGTGCCGTTTTCCCCGTTGCAGTAGCGAACTTCATCGCTTAGAGCCGCCTATTTCTGTGATCACATTAGGCCACTGGAATTTTTTAAACATTTTTTGAGCATTCAAAGGATCGTTGTATAAAAGGGAGCAGCATTTCATCGATTTATTTTCAACTGCATACAAGATGTTCAGGACTGGACAGCAACAGGACAGAAACAGTCTCAGCCTCTTGGGATATCTTGACAATTGCTTCACTGGCCAGATGAAGCTTGCAGTCAAGTCCAGCAAGGATTTCCATCTTGCACGTCATTTCGGCACATGTCTCGCTTAATATTTTGAATGCACAACAGAGGCGAGCTGGATATCCCTCTGTCTTGCCTGCATGTAATAAATGTGAGTGCGTACACTACCGTAAAATGCCGGGGGAGCGCCCACCCCACTTTTACTGAAAACTGAATAGATGCAGACATGGGCATTTGTCCGGTCAAATCTGGTGGTTTACGTACAATTTGCAGAATTCCCAAGATTGGGAAATGGAAATAGTGGGCGCTTGCAGGGGGGGGGGGGGTAGGGTAGGGGGGTAGGGGGTAGGGGGGGGGGGAAACCAAGCGGGCGCTTCCGCAGTATTTTACGGTATGTAACACTGAGTGTTTAACACGCTTGTTGTGGCTCCACTACTGTTCGAGTGAATCTTTGTATGGTTGCGCTTTGCATCTGGCTCCCACCCTTTTTTTAACTGGGTTTTGAGAGCTTGCCGTTTAGTTCTTATCGGGATGTTAAATAAAATGTGAATGCAAACATTGCTTCCTTGATGTTTATTGACCGGTGCAAACAAACAACAAAGGTTCTGACACATCGAGCAAAACATTCTTGCATTGCTGCCTGTGCCACGGTTGTGCGAAATACTCTCATTTTCCGACAGCAAATGTTCTATCAAGCGTAAATTTTACGACGAGAGATTCAGCTTCTTCATCTATATAAAGCATGTGAAATAAATCATGCAACGCAACGGTGCCGCAGTTTGTAATGTTTAGCACAAGCAAGCAAAGGTTATATGCAGCCTGATAGCTGATATTGTACTTTGAGAAGTTTTTTTGCATTCCCCGCCACTTAAAATGTCCTGAAAACTGCAGTTTACTGCACAAGATTTGTTTTCAGAAAATGCATGTTGAACTGTGATGCCACCTGCAAGCGAAATAATATTTGCTCGACCGCCACTTTCAATTACTTTTCAGTCCGGACTCCGAAAAATTCCAAAACTCCAAAGTTCTATGTGTAAAGCGTCAAAATCGTGACTATTTGTCCCAGTTTGAATGACTGTGCATTTGTGAAACTTTAGTGTTTCATAGTGCTAGGTTCTGAGTGACGGCCAGGGTGCTTGCTCACCAAGAATAAGCATTCTTAATGCATGAGACTGCCCTTGCTTCCCAGGGGTCTGCAGTGCGGAACTATGTCCCCTTCATTCGCTTGGATGGGGCGAATGGTGTCGGAGCCGTGAAGATCAAGACTTTGCTTCCTCATCTGGGAGGCCTGCTGAAAATAGAGACCTTCAACGATGGAACACAGGGGAGGTTAAATCACATGGTACGATGGCTTTCACACCACGTCTCATGTCGCTCATTTGTAACACCTCTTTGTTTCTTTTTAGTGTGGTGCTGACTTCGTCAAGGTTTACCAGAAAGCACCAGAAGGTTGGCACCATTTGTCCCTTGACTCAAACTGTTTACTTAATGCCAAGTTTCTTCATTCTTTCCCCAGGTATTCCACTCGATGTCGGTGTCAGGTGCGTTTCCTTTGATGGTGACGCCGACAGAGTGATTTATTTTTACCATGACGAGAACCAAGGGTTTCACCTCTTGGATGGAGACAAGATCGCCACTTTGGTACGACGCCTGTTCGGTTTGGGTAACCCTGGGCAGAGTGCGACAGCTACATTTACTCTCGACTACAGGTGGCAAGCTATTTAAAGGAACTTATTGATGCTGCCAAGATATCCCTAGACATGGCCATTGTTCAGACAGCCTATGCCAATGGCAACTCTACAAGCTACATCACTAACGTGCTGGTGAGTTTGCAGATGCACTCAACTACCTCAAATCTGCCGATTGATACGCTTCACCCTGTGATGCTTGGCAACTAAGCGGTGTCCCTGTTTTTTGACATGGAAGAAAGTGCCCGTCAAGTGTGTCCCAACTGGTGTGAAGCACCTGCATCGTGAGGCCCAAAAGGCAGACATTGGCATCTACTTTGAAGCTAATGGCCATGGAACTGTAAGTGCTGCACTCATTGTCCTTCAGCCTACCCACTGCACTGGCTGCAAGCTAGCGCTTTTCCTCTGGTTTAGGTACTCTTCAGCGGTAAAGCGCAGGGCGTCATACAAGCTGTTGCTAACGACGACAGGTGAGTCCTTTCTGAAAGCAGGTGGGGATTGCTGGCTACATGGTACTTTGGGCCGTTCCTTCCAGCCAGTATCCAGAACAACAGCAGGCGGCGAGGAAGCTACTCCACACGATGGACTTGATTAATCAGGTAGCCTCAGATTTTCATTGCAGCGTTTCATTGCTGCTCTTTGGAGCAAGGAGCCAGTGACTGTTGACCACCGCAATATCCCCAGAGATAGTCTACCTGAAATCGAAAGCAAATCGGGGGAAAATAAGAAATACACCAATTTTCCGTGTGCCATAAAAAAAAAAAAATACGTTGAAAAAATGCTGGTTTTAGATTTTGTGACCTGCGAAACTTGTAATCACAGGGAGGGACATGAACCAGACACAACTGTCCTTCCCAGTCAGCAATGTTTGTGGGGGGAATGAAGTTGCTTTTTCAATTACTCCAAGTGCAACAGGGCCTTAATGGTACTTGCCAGTTGGTGTGTCTGTTTTCCCAGCTGTTACATTCATGGAGACCAGTCCTGTTTTAAATCTCATAGGGCTAATGTACTTTTTTTCCCATTTGTTGCATTGCAACTGCCAAAATGCCAGTGTCGGCAAGCGTCGTGTGCTGCAGTGGCTTAGCATGGTTGCTTGTGGTGTACTGCATGGTAGAGATCTTACTGCACGAGGTGTAAAGCTCCTTTAGTGGGGCCAGCGCGCATTGCTCTGCATCGTCCAAGGAAGCTAACAGAAATCTCTACCTTTGGAAGGGTGCTGCTGTAAGCGGAGTCTCGATAAAGCCCCTTGGTACAGTTCATGCTTTTTATTTCATACAAGCGCCGATGGTCGGTGTACAGCATGGCCCCTGCAGCCTTTTCTTGCAGAGGTTCTACCTCGGCAAAAGCAGGCAACCTTTACAAGTCAAAAACAACGCACAAATTTTCGGTGTTTGTTAATCAGTGCACAAAATTTATCATTCCTACTACCGTAGAATACCGCGCATCCGTCCATTCCACATTAAGCGCCCATTACCAAATTTGTAAGATTTGAGAAAATACATACAGTACATTTATATGGAAAATTGATGACCGGACAAGCGCCCATCCCCCATTTTTTTGCCATTATCTCCAAAGTTTCAGTGGCCCGGTATTTTATGGTAATTAAACATTGGATGGACGCAAAACCAGTAAAAGAGAAGATGATTTGACGTTTAGACACAGCTCATGGTCTGCTGCCACCATCTGTCAGCTGTTGCACCTATCGGACGTGTTTCATCTGCTCACGGTCATTGTATGTAGGAAAAGAACATCCTTATTTACTTACTTTTTACTCGAGTAACTTCATTCTTTGAAATTTTGATACAGAAAATGCACCACTTACAGGCACCCCTTATCAAATGTACCACAGTACTTTAAGACAGAGTTCTTCCCACAGTACACCCACGGGTTTTCCGAGGTTCCACATTTTCTTCGATCGTCCCTGCCCCTTAGTAAAGTCCAGCTAATGTGCTGTTTTAGCGAATTTGAGCCACCCACTGATGCATAATTGAACAAAATATGCCAATTAGTATGCACATTATTGTTTCCAAGCTCTGCAGACTTGTGCACTGCTTTAATGTCTCAATGACAAGACCGAAAGGGTTTCCTAAGCCAGATAGGGGTTCCTCGAGGTTGGAAAGCTTCAAAAACTGTTAAAAAAATGCTTTAGAAGGTCCTGTCAAAAGGTTCAGCGTGCTTCTGGGTTCATGCTGCAATGCTAACCTATAAAACATGTGTCACTCATGCACTCTGGAAAATGATGGCGTCCTGATAACTCGGTTTGGCACTGCGCTACCATTCTCTCCAAAGGGCCTCGTGGGGCTTGCGCTTTGTGTATTACTGCTGTTGTTGCAAAGTGCTTGCAGAAAGGAACACGTTATGGGGCTTGAGGTACTGACTCGGCTGCTTCTTCTCTTTAGAGAAAACTATAAGTAAATGGCTGTAGCCCTGCGAAGGTAGCATTCTATATTTCAAGGGTCCACACTTTCTAGTATCGAGGAATGCCCATCTCCATTGCTGGACGTTCCTGTTGTTGAGCTGAAGAGCCCTCCCAGTTGGCATTGATGCAATAAAGCTCTGTGGAAGCTTATGGACCTCGTAAAAAATAGTGCAGATACTGAGGAGTCTTTGACTCATAGCTGCACATTAATGGGTGACTCAGATGTGCTAAAATGCCGGGTGTAGCACGATTGCCCCGCTTGCAGAATCCCCGTCGTAAAAGCCCCACGTCATTAGTCCCACGTTTCGAAAACCCCGCGTTCAATTACCCCATCCCGTATTCCCCCCCCGTGCCAAAAGCCCTGTCCTCACTGCCCCCATCCCACCCTCTTCGCGCTTCAACCAGCCTCTTTACCTGATTCGTTGAGGGTCTACAAAGGCCCTTTCAAGTGAAAGAATTGGTGTTTGGTGCTGTGTATACGTAATAAGTATGGCGCCACGAGCTTCGGGTGAACTGTTTTGACAGAACCGTCGGAACTGTGAATCCGCACATTCTTCAGAGTCGACGAATGCTTTGGTTCAGAAAGGGAAAAAAAAACGCAGGCAAGCTGGTAAATGACATCCATGTAACCCTGAGACGTAGGAACAATAAAATAACGGACTTGATTGTTCTGTCCGTTTCTTTATTGTTCCTACGTCTCAGGGTCACTATGGATGCTTTGGTTCAATGCTCAATCATAAAAACTGCAACTTTAAATGTTTTACCAGTGACTGCTATTTTCTGTTTGTTCTCACTTTTAGAGTCAATCCTTACTGGAGTCCTGGGTATGGCATGATTGGTACACAAGAGTTAAAAGCAAAATGCTTCGTCCTCACGCTGAGGACCTGACATGGGGGTTTGCGCCATGGGCTTCTGAAACTGGGGCGTATGAAAGCGGGGCAAAAAAGGCCGGAGCGTTGGCTGCGGGGCATTCGACACGGGATTTTGACATTGGGTGCTTTCGTGCACCACCCAAAATACCCTATTTGCATGAATATAACGCAAGGGCAGGTTTTCAAATTCCTAAAAGCAAAAAGAAAGTATGGTATAGACCACTTACAACGTAACCGCTTATAGTGCAGGACCGGGTATAATGCGGTTTTTTTAAACCACCGGTTCGCCTCCCATAGAACTCCATGTAATTACATACCACTTAAAATGCAGGCGCGCGAAGGGAAATACCGGTTATAGTGTGGTTTCTGGCACAGCCCGCCTACCGTGCCGACGACCGGAGCAGCGAGCACGCTTCCCTGTGCGACACTAGATAACGGCGCTGACGGCGCTAGCCTCAAGCAGCACTTGCGGGGCAAGGAGGTTGCTCGAAAAAGCGGGGAGAAGCGAAGAGAGCGGCTTCAGTTGCCAAAGCGACGGAGGGACGCACGCACGTGTCTTTCACGTGCGTGCGTCCCTCCGCTGCGTTGGAAACAAACAACTGCAACGACAGACCAATCGCAGGTCGAGGAGAAGTGTTCGCGCGCGTTGCATGCCGGTCGCTGGCCGGCTGCTTCTATTGGCAAACATGGCGTCGGTTGTGATCGTCGTTGTAGACGGCGTTCATCTCATCGTTCCGCGTAAAAGCGCTATCCTTGACTGTGAATTTTCATTGTGCGTCGCTATGATAACCCAGCACGTACTAGAAGGGAAGATCCACCTACTCGTGCGGCGATGTCGTGGCGGCGCTCTCAAGACGGCAGAAACGCCCGTGTCGTCGTATTTGTTTACTTCGACTACAGTGGTGATTTCTAAGCATTTGTGTCCTCGAACATCGCCCGGATTTCTTATTTGGCACATTTCATGCGTGTGCTCAAGTTCAAGGTATTACTGGCGCGTTACGTATGAAGGATGCGAATTTTCACGCGTTTTCATCTCCGGAGAAAAGTGATTAGGGTTAGCAATCCTGAACGCTCGCAACGTCCGTCCGCAACCCGCGATGCCGTTAATAGGCTGCGCCAGGCAAAAGCTGCTCATTTCTTTCAAAATGTGTTACACACTTGAGACAGAACTGTACTAGTCTGGTGAAATAAAGACTTTCCTCAAACTAAGCTTTATTTTTCACCTAACATAAAATAAATTCTTTTACAAGGGTAAGTTGTCTCATGGCATGTATTTTGGCCTGAAAAATTGATGTTTTGGTTATAGCGCGGTACCGCTTATAGTGGGGATTTTCGCGACTCCCGCGACATACGTTATATGCGGTCTACACTGTATTCCTCTTATAATGCAGCTGTAAAGTTACCGCACTCAAGGGCATATCAGAAGTGGGGACGGGAACGGGGAAAATATTGTGTTTTGACTGCACTCGTTGTCACTACTCAGCTCCTTCTCCCTGTCGCACGAGGGACTTGAAAGATATGCTTGTCTTGTAGTTGCTCTTTCTTTGGGTCAAGTTATTCCTCTTCAACCGCGATACACTGTGTCAAGTCGGCTGATTTACAAAGCGCACGAAGCAGAAGCACAAACGCCAGAACACTCTCGAGCAGTGACTAAAAAAGGCAGAACAAAGACTGCTGGAAGCGATACACGATCCTTCTCGCCCTCGTGTGTCATAATCATTATGGAACACAAGATGTTTCATGCATAAAGATAGGGACTATTTCAACGTCCACCATTAAAATAATTTAAATATTATTTCACATCACTTTCGTTAAGCGTCAAAATAACTACTTTTTATTTAACCGCCGACCATCAAAGTAACAAGAATATGACGTCTCTGTCATCATTTTACTGTTAATATAAAAGCAAAAAGTATGCTGACGTCTACAACATCACTTCGGTAATAATATGCATCTTTTATGGTGATGTCTACCGTCAAAATAGCTTGCATGTTATTTTGACGTTTGTGACGCCACCTTTGAAGCGCGCTCACTTGCATGCACTGTAAATATCAAAAGGCCTTTATTCCTTTTCTTTTTGTTGTGAACTTTCAGGCATCAATCAGACACTGGAGTAGCGTTGCAAGGGGGCCAAAGGTGGCAGGCTGGAAACAGGAACTGTTGGCTGTGTTTGCAGGTCTCGGTGCTGGCGCCTCATGAGGTTCATCGGCACTTTCAGCTTTCAGTTCTGTTTGCATTACCATTCTCTGCTGGTTTAGTGTTTAGCTCTATGTGCACGACAGATAAGTAGAGGCTTTTACGTCATCTG